GTGGTGGGATTTTGGACACTCCTGTGCAAGGCCAGGAGTTGGACTCGATGATTTTGGGGGTCCCTCCCAACTCAGGATGTTCTGCCTTACTTAAAGTGAGGTTTATGCACATTTCCGTCTGCATCACGAAGGACACAGAACAGGACGTGCAATGACAATCCCAGCTTGCTGGCACATCGTTAAAAATGGGGGGTTACACTTTTTGTAAGTGGCATTATGGTATTAAACTCTGGAGCTAGAACTGGTGCCCAGGGTGGGTAAGCACACAGTAAGACACCAAGTTACTCTGCTTTTACAGCAGTACCTGGACAATGCACTTATTAATTATAAAGATGAAGTAGCAGAGCTCCTGCTGAAGGAACTCATGGACTTGAGTGACCTGGCAAGGGCTTTTAAAGAGGAGAGCGGCTCGTTGGCAATTTCCCCTCCACAGAGAGGAAAATTATTACAAACACAGAAAATCAGCGAGATGCTGAGCCTTGCGGCAGCAAAGGGCACATTCAGGTGTGCGAGGGCAGCCCCGAGCCCGCAGGTGAGGAGACCCCGCAGGTGAGGGGACCCCTGAGCCCGCAGGTGAGGAGACCCCGTAGGTGAGGGGATCCCTCAGGTGAGGGGACGCTCGAGCCTCGCGGCCCTCAGGTGAGGGGACGCTCGAGCCTCGCGGCCCTCAGGTGAGGGGACGCTCGAGACTCGCGGCCCTCAGGTGAGGGGACGCTCGAGACTCGCGGCCCTCAGGTGAGATGCTCGAGCCCCGCGGCTCTCACGTAAGAAGACCCCGCGGGCGAGGGGATTCCCAAGCCTCATAGCCCTCAGGTAAAGAGACCCCCGAGCCTCGTAGCTCTCAGACAAAGAACCCTCGCAGCCCTCGGCCCATTTAGCGGAAAACCCACCATCGCCCTGCCCAGCCCTCCCCGCACGCCCCGGTAAATAAGCGGCCCCAGAGCCACTGGGGCAGCAGCCGCCGCAGCCCCGCCGGCCCCCGCGCGGATCAGCGTTACGAAAGGCGCCTCTCGGCGTTGTGTAACGCGGTACCGGCGGCTCCGCCGTCCTCCTGCCCTCGCAGCCCGCGATGACCGGGAGCCCTCCCGCCCCCGCCGCCCCCAGCCCCCCGTTCGGCCATGGCGGCGGTGCCGCCTCACTCACGGTGCCGTCCCGCGGCGGCAGCAGCGGCGGCAGCAGCGGCCGCCATCTTGGCCGCCCGCATTCCCTCAGACAGCGCCAGCGCCGCTGCCGCCGCCCCTCGCCTTGCACCGTCTCGGTACAGACAACACCGCCCCCGGGACCGCCCCGGTACAGCCAAAACTGCCCCCGGCACCGCCTCGGTACAGCCAACACCGCCCCCGGGCCCGCCCCGGCACCGCCCCGGGCCCGCCCCGGCACCGCCCCGGGCCCGCCCCAGGCCCGCCCTGGGCCCGCCCCGGTACAGCCAACACCGCCCCCGGGCCCGCCCCAGGCCCGCCCCGGTACAGCCACCACCGCCCCCCGCACCTCAAACACCGCCCCGGGCCCGCCCCGGTACAGCCCCGGTACAGCCCCGGTACAGCCAACACCGCCCCCGGGACCTCAAGCACCGCCCCGGCCCCGCAAGCACCGCCTGTGGCCCCCCACGCCGGTTGTCCTGCCCGGTCCAGGGGCTGCCCGCGTGGCCCGTGTCTCTCGTGCCGCCCTGCCCCGGCTCCCCTCCGTAGTCCCTGTGGGACTGTTCCCATAGAGTGAGGGCGGGGATCCTCGGTTTGCACAGTAACGCTCTAAGTTGCAGAATGTTCAAAAAACCACGATTTAAATTTTTTTTTCAATATAAATCCTGTGGGCTTTCTCAGCGGGCGCCTCATGAGAGATGAGGGCTCGAATTCTGAGCCCCCTCAGATGTGCTGGTGCAGGAGCACAGAGCTCCATTCCCGATAGAAATTCAGGCGTTGGAATAGGTTGCCCAGGGAGGTGGTGACGTCACCATGCCTGGAGGTGTTTAAGATGTGTCTGGATCTGGCACTGGGTGATGTGGTTTAGTGGTTTGGGAGTTATAGTGCTGGGTTAGTGGTTGAGCTCGATGATCTTAAAGATCTCTTCCAACTCTGATGATTCTATGATACTATGATTCTAAAAACAAATAAACAAACACCACAGCAGTTATCCTGCACATTAACAGGTGGTTTACATTCCATGTCTCCTCAGGTTTTTGACAGCTCATGGAAGGGCCAAGGGCAGAGCCAGCTCTCGGGGCTTCTCCTCAAAAGTCCTTACAAAGGGGGACCAGGTGAGCTTGAACATCGATAAATATAAAATAATGCATGTAAGGAGAAGTAATCTAATTAAAGGTACAGGGCAGCCATCTCAAAGCAGCCAGGAACAAGGCTGACAGGTCCTGGACCTAGTGCTGGCAGCCTCGCGTGCCAGTTCCCAATCCAACTGTGTGGAGATATCATGTGAGAAAATTAAAGTGAGGATGAGAAATCCCAGTTCTGATTGCACATCTTCTCTTCTGCAGGCTTGTTTTCCCTTTCTGATGAAAATAAATCCAAGCGCTCCTGTGTTCCAAGAGCTGCAGCAGCTTTCCAAGATCCCACACCACCCCTCTCCACTGCTGCTGAAGGAACTGCACAGCAGTCTCAGGCAAGTTCAACTCCACTGCAGCTTTCATCCCAGTCACCTTTTAAGCTCCTTATCTGATTTGCCTCTTCCTTGAGAACCTCTTAAGTCCTCAGTCCTTCCTCTAGTAGTTCCCCTGATACAGAGGCTTTTACCTTTACAAAGCAGCTCAGCCCTGACACGTTTGAGGACTGAAAACTGATCGCACACAAGTGATGTTTTCCTGACCCTGTTCCCTTCCCATCACTCCAGGCACCAGAAGGAAGTTATTTTATAATAAGTCTTTACATGGTGCCAGAAGCCCAGGCTGCTCCCCCTGGTGCTGTGTTTACTGCACCTGAAAATTCCCTTTTCCTGGGCTTTTGTCCACACTATATTAAGCAATAAGCTCCAAGGGCTCAGTGAAAGGTACAGGCATTACAGGTCAAGTACTGCCTTGCACACCAGCTTCTGTTGCCATAATTTATTGGTTGCTGATTTAGACCAGCTTATATAACATGCAAGATGAAGAAAACCAATCAGTTACTACAAAAATATGGATATCCACCACTTAACAGTTCCAGGAGCGAACAGCAAATCCAGCTCAAGTCTCAGTGCAGGTGGCACATGATGCCCCCACCATTTTTTTTCTCTCCGGTAAAAGGAATTGCTTTTTTTATGACTAAAAACCATACAGATGACTGAACACATGAAGTATTTCATTAACCCTACTTGATAATTTGATTACAGCCAGAGAAGCTGCTCAGCTGCAGCAGC